AGACTCTTTACAATTGCCGGGTGAGATTCCAACTTAGAGCCATCCTTATGGTTTAATCTAAACGCGCCAGCTTTCTAAATGTTCCAAATTGAAGACAAGTGATCTCTAACACTGCACTGTTACTTGTGCAAAAGCTCGTGGACAACTTGGACTACAAGTTAACGCGAACCTAGTGTCGTGCGGAAGCTTCAGACATGAGGCCAATATTTAACAAGGAAAAATATGACAAATACAAAAATTCAAATAACACAAGGATTTATATTGGTTTAACGTAAGCCTACGTCCTACGTCCTAAGAAAATTTCACTAATATCAAACGGAGATTACATATTGTTTAAGCTTTCACAACCCAAATCCCACAAACAACCAGATCACTCTCCTACAAACAAATCTCAGATTCTTGGCAACAGAACTCTTACAGACGTGTGAAGCAAATATAAAAGAGCCAATGAAAGAGAACATAAACTAATGAGTGGAAAGGGTTGTGCTCTCCCATCTTTGGATGGTTTTATTAGTCCGGCGTCCGGTGGATAAGAGTGGGAAGGGTTGGGATTATTTATAGACTTTTACAAAAAAATTTATCAAACATTCTGCTGCTTTATTTCACAGCTGCTTATTCTCATAGCACAGCAGAAACAGCTTTTTTTTCAAAGTACAACAATACCAAAGAATACCATCATCGGATCTTCCCTTGTTTAAGAATCTTCTGAAGGATATAGCCAAACTGGAGAAAAACCAAAACGGAGCAGTTTGGGTTCTTAAGCCAGAGTTTGATCATCAATAATCTCAACCGTCAGTTCATCGCTCGAAAGTGCTGATTAATTTCAACCTTTACCATTGTTAATATCTTTTGTAGGATATATTTTATCTGTACAGTAATTTGTAGAGTTCTGATAATTTACTCGTTCCACCGAGCACAATGACATTCTAGAATTCATACAACCGATCTCACTTAGTGGAATAAGAGTTTGTTGTTGTTGTTGTTGATAATTTACTCTTCCATTTAACAATGTTAGGTCAACTAGCCAAGTTTCGAGTTTGAATCTTCCTTCTGTAAATTGAAATAGTTTAGAGAGTAAATTGTAGCAATGGTCCCTCAACTTTAATAAAATTGGAGCAATGGTCTCTCAACTAAAAATTCATTACTATTGGTCCCTCAACTCATCAAAATGTGTAACTATAATCCTTTTCGTCAACTTTGTTAGAATTTTGTCAAAATGAGTTATGTTGGAATGACAATTGCTACAATTAGAATCCCTCAACTCATCAAAACGTGTAGCTATGGTCATTTTCGTCAACTTTGTCAGACATTTGTCAAAATGAGTTATGTTGGAAGGACCATTTCTACAATTGGGTTAAAATTGAGGGATCATTGCTACAATTGGGTTATAATTGAAAAACTATTTCTCTAGTTGAATTAAAGTTGAAGGACCAGTGATAATGGATTTTTAGTTGAGATTACGGATTGGTCGGCGTTTGGAAGTAATAATTTAATCAGATAAACGGTGTCGTTTTAGGTTCCCTTTACCGTTCTAAAAGTTTCTGCCTAGCGCCGCCTAGGTCACCGTCTCAATTAATACCTAAACATTTGAAAATTAAAAAAAGCCGCATAAACCTATTGAGGCGCCGCCGTAGACCGCCTAGGTTGTGACTCACTTAAACAGAAAATAGATAATTTTCATTTTGCATTTTATTTTTTTTAATAAATTATAAGATATTTGTTAAATACTTAAATGAACACACATTATATGTTTGTTTCCATGTTTTCATTATATTCTAACACTTCATAACATATATGTCATTTTATTTTGTAATTTATGATAAAATTATATATATATATTAAATATAAACAGACATGTATTAGATATAATAAATTTACTTAAATTTGTGTCGTCTGCCTAGGCGCTAGGCTCTAACCTGCACTGGCACCTAGCGTGTTTTAAATCTTGCCTTAGAGCAAGTCCAACGGAAGAGATAGCCCGGTGGACCGGGAACCTTTTCAATCCAATTGCCTCCCTTCTTTGCTCCAACCCATGCGGGCGATTGGGCTGAGGGGGGCTCGTGTGAGAGGGGAGGCACGAATCAAAGGCCCGAGCGCCTAAGGGATGTCAACCATGTTAAAAAAATAATAAAAAATGTAAAAAATTAATAAAAAAATCAGAAATTTTTTTTTAAATTAAAAAAAAAGTTGATTTAATTTTTCTATAAATATCTTATCATTATATTCCATCTTACACAACAATTTTATAATTTCTCAAATACTTTGGGTTGTAATTTCTTATTTAATGACATGTGGCGCAACGAGACTGATTAAAAATCCTATCAGAAATTACAAATAAACTTATTTTTTATTATTTAATAAAATAAAAAATACTAATATTTTATTATTTATTACCATAATTATTCATTTTAAGAATGTAAATACAAAAAATAATTACTATTCATTGCAATTCCTATTCATCAGACGGCATTTATTAGGCAGTCCAACACTTGAAGTGCTAATGACGTTTTCAGATTTCTTGCATTTTCCTATTGGGGTTCTGACACATTCATTCTCACCCGCCAAGCAGCCTCCGCCGCCAACCCCCGATTTCGCACCTTCTCCTTTCTCACCAGAATGTCATCCCTTCACGTTTCCCAAAACACCATTTCCCAGCCGCCTCTCAATCTCCGCCGTCGATGCATCCCCAATTTAGGCAGAGAAGTCCGATTAATCAAGGGCCGGAGGCCGTCCGCGGCTTGCCTGAGCGTGGACGTGGAAGCACCGGATACGGCCTCCAAATTAGGGATTTTGAAGAGCAAGGAGGTAATGGAGACGGAGGCGAAGGTCCTGCTACAGACCTACGCGAGGACTCCAGTGGTGCTCACCAGTGGCAATGGTTGTAAATTGTACGATACCGAGGGGCGCGAGTATTTGGACCTGAGCTCGGGGATTGCGGTGAATGCGCTCGGCCATGGCGACGAGGACTGGCTGAAGGCGGTGGTTGATCAGGCCGGAACGCTTACCCACGTCAGCAATCTCTACTATTCAATCCCGCAGGTTTGCCCTTTATCTTAAATTTGGGTTCGTCTGCTTGTTTGGTTCCCGAGAAAGTGTGGCAAAATTGTAAAAGATTGCATTTTGCGCATAAACAGCGTCGTTATTCTGGTTTAGGGCTTCTGGGTATTGCTTGGTTGCGGAGAAGGTGTAGGGAATGTGAAGGGTTGCTTTTGCGTCTAACCGGCGTCGTTTGTCTGGTTAATGGACTTATGGGCATTGCTTGGTGTAATGTAGGTGGAGCTAGCAAAGCGTCTGGTGGGTTCTAGTTTTGCAGACCGTGTGTTTTTCACTAATTCTGGAACCGAAGCGAACGAAGCAGCCATTAAGTTTGCAAGGAAGTTTCAGAGACATAATCACCCTGATGCGAAAGAGCCTGCCACGGGCTTCATATCTTTCACAAACAGCTTCCATGGGAGGACCATGGGTGCTCTTGCCTTGACTAGCAAAGAGCATTACCGGTCTCCTTTTGAACCTGTTATGCCTGGAGTCACGTTTGTGGAGTATGGAAATATACAAGCTACCAAAGAACTGATTCAGCCCGGAAAGACTGCCGCTGTGTTCGTCGAACCTATTCAGGGTGAAGGCGGAATTTACAGTGCTTCAAAGGAGTTTATGCAGTTTCTGCGTACTGCATGTGATGATGCTGGTGCTCTTCTGGTGTTCGACGAGGTAATCAGCTACTTTTTATCTTCAGTTTGTGCTCAATTTAAACAAACTAGATGGTGTATTTTGTGCTGGATTCTCTTGTTAGCATGCGCTATACTTTTATGTTTTCTCCAAAATGTTTTGAATTTGTTTGGTTCGGATGGCAATTTCCCTGACGATTCGTGATTTCATTGGTCCCATGGATAATTGTTGTTATGGCCTCGAGCCATTCCCTTTCCCAACATGAAATATGAATCCTTGCATAATGCATCTGATTTTCTTGTAGTAGATTCTTCCTACATTCCCAATTCTTATATCGGCAATATTACTCTCATTGCTTCTTTATGTTATGATTTCGCCAATCTGGGAGTGTGGGATGTTAAATAGGCCGCAGTTCGAATTCTCAAATGTCAAACTTCATTATTATGCTCACATTCCTTCATTGTTGTTCTTGTTGTTTCTTTTACTCATTGTATTTTTAAAATTCTTTCAGAGGGATAAGTTAAAGGATTCAAGTTAATGCTCTCGTCAATGAGGTTTAAGAGTAATGCTTTATTTTCTGTAGGTTCAATGTGGTTTAGGTCGAACTGGGTATCTCTGGGCTCATGAGGCTTATGGTGTATTCCCAGATATAATGACACTTGCTAAGCCACTTGCTGGAGGCCTGCCCATTGGAGCTGCATTGATGACCGAAAGAGTGGCTTCAGCCATAGCTTTTGGTGACCACGGAAGTACTTTTGCTGGTGCACCTCTTATCTGTAGCGCGGCCTTAGCTGTTCTCGACAAAATATCCAATCCCAAATTTTTGAATAGCGTCTCTAAAAAAGGTATCTACTTCAAAAACATCTTAAAGCAGAAGCTGGGAGGGAACCCACATGTTCGGGAAATACGTGGTCTAGGGCTTATTATCGGAATTGAATTGGATGTCTCTGCCTCACCCGTTGTGGATGCATGTCGAAACTCTGGCCTGTTAATATTGACTGCTGGAAAAGGTAATGTTGTGAGGCTGGTGCCTCCATTGATCATAACTGAGCAGGAGCTTGATGTTGCAGCTGACATTCTGTCCCAAGCTTTGCCGGTACTTGATGAAACTAAATCAAATTAGGAGGATGAAAGTTACATTTTGTAGTAGATTTCTTAAGTTAACGTATTAATATTGTTGTAATTTCATAGCTCGTTAAGCTTTTATTTTTCCTTCTTTAGGGCTTGCCTGATAACGTTTTACTAAGAAATAATAGATTTGGGTTGAGTTTGCTTGTTATTGGGTACTGCGCTCGATTACTAATCTACAACTCACACTACATAAGAAACCAGAATGCAGTAAAAGAATATATTGAATATTGAAAGTTTATGTCATCTTTCGGGTTTCCAAGTTGATTGAGGATGGAAGCAACCCTGGAAACCTATATACTTTTCATTATTTTCTTACAAGCATTGCGGTAAAAATTTACAAAAGCATGTAATTACATCACAACCAACAATTTTACCTGACCCTGTAAGGACTAGTCTAGCCTCGACAAGTTGGAATTCAACTGTTGTAGACCGAGCTTCCGCTTATTTTTGTGCCACAGCATGAATTGTTTGTAAATTGCAGAATCCTGTTTCTTCAAATGATGCATTGCCAGAGCTCGCCCACACGTCAAAGCCAGATTCTCATAGCTTTCAAAGTTTCTCCACTTGTAACTACCACAACTTTCGCATGCTGCTTACTTCACTATGATTTTTTGACTTTGTGGTTGGTTGTCCCAAAAAAATATGATGCTTCACTTCACTGGTCGGACACCAACAGTTCTAACACGGAATCTATACTGAGGTTGAGAGTCTTCATCATCATCGTCATCGTCATCCTCTTCACTAGAGTCATCTTCCACTCTATCCCACCGTGCATAGTCCAGAGAAGAGTGTCCCTTTGGTTTTGGAATTGCTTGCCATCCATTTTCTTTTTCTTTTTCTTTTTCAGACGATACCTTGACTGCACGAGCGGCAACAACTTCAGCTGGGGAAATGGTCTTTATGTAGTTACCTTTTGGATCCCTTCCTTGTGGAGGAACTTCCCTGTTTACCGGTGTCTTAGGGGGAATAACATCGGCAACAGTAGTTGTCTCATTAACCTCAGGAATCTGTTCCTTTCCTGCACCTGAAAGTACCGCATCTTTTTTTTCTTCGTATTGCTCCTCGTCCTCCTCATATCTATTTGGCTCTGCTTCATCCTCCTCGTCTTCTTCCTCTTCTTCTAGCTCTGCTTCGGATTCAGGTATTGGAGCGAGTGACTTTCCTCAAGCAGAAAAATAAACTCTTTACTCACAGCCAGGAAATTGACAATTGCAAATTTATGGTTTCAGCACCGGCTGCATTGCTGCTGACGATGATGATGTTCATAATTGTAAATTTTTGCAACAGCGGTGTTCATGATTGTAAATACAATGATGAATAAGATGGTTATAAGTCAACAAAATGTCCCAAATGACACTGAACAAAAACCTAGAGGTTGTTCGAAGGGTAGGGGATTTCCTTCGGGTTTTAGGTGACAACAAAACCATCCATACTAACTGGCAACCAAACCTCAAACTGCCCTTAAGCTTCTATTGATTTGTACCAGACAATAAAGGTCAATCATTTGTAAAACAATGTAGAAAAAAAAATAGCAGAAAGAACGAGAGAATTGTACCACTTGTGTCTTCAATCGGGCTTGAAGGTTTTGATAAACTTCTGATGATGGATTTAACTCAATGAGCCGATGAACATCAAAGAGTGCCGAGTGATATTCCTTGAGGGTCACCAAGGTCTGCGCCCGCAACATCAATGCTCCAGTGTGATTGTAATCAAGCTCAAGCACTGAGGTACATTCATCTGCTGCCTAAAATATAGTCTTATGAAGTCAACCAACAGATCAACTATTAAAAAAAGAACAAAATTCCAACCATCAAATTCCACATTTTTATTTAGCAAATCAAAATCGAGATCCAGAACGCGATTTCCAGTCGCAAAATCGTGTCTTGAACTCACGATACCCTCACTGTCACTGGATTCATCATTAGAAAACACAAATTACTTGCTCTTATCAACTCATTGGGATCAAAACTGTGAAAACGACGCAATTTTCAGCAGAAAAATCGTGTCTTGAACTCGCGATATCCACACTGCCATTGAAATTTTCGTTCGAAAACACGAATCGCTAGTTCTAATCAACTCATCGAGATCGAATGTTGAAAAAGTTGAACAATTTCGTACAGCAAAAACGAATAGATAAAGCGATAGAGAGGGAAAAAAAAAGCGCGAACCTTTTTGAAATCGTGGAGCTTCAAGAAGCAAGCAGCTCGGTTGCTGTGGAGGGCGATCTTCTGGGGTTTGGTCTTGGCCATGGATAGGGCTTCGGTGTAAAACCCTAGCGCCTCCGAGTAGCTACCTTCCCGGTACATCAGGTGGGCCCGCTCAATCTTGTTCACCGGCGCCGACGCCATCATATCCTCCTCCGTCCGCCAATCTCAGCCGCCGGAAATTTCACAGTTGTTCACTGTTAGCTTGCGATTACTGCCACCAACAAGTGAATCAGGGAGAGAGAGAGAGAGAGAGAGAGAGAGAGAGAGAGAGAGTGTTTGGGGTGTTTTTGAATTGTGATTTACAAAGCTGGGAGAGTCTTGACACAGCGATTTGATTTTGATTTGATTTCTTTTTATTTAAATTTACTCTTTTATTTGGAAAAAAGAAAAAAAGAAAAAGACCGATTGGGTGTTCTCACGTGACTGCCCACATGTGAAGTCAACAAACGAGTGTGAGTTGTGTACTTTGTATTAGGGGCGGGCAAGTGGGCCTAGACCCACGGTCCGGGTGGTTCGGGACGAGGCGGGTTTAAGTATATGGCGGGATGGGACGGGTCTAATTTCTGAGTATACACAAGCCCCCAACCTAGATCATATACACATGCATTCATTCATTCATCTCTCTCACACACAAACGGGTCTCTGCAATTCCTCTCTCGATTTCTCTGGTTATCCTCAGTCCTCAATCCTTAATCGTCTTCGTTGAATCTTGATTGTCTTTGTCGATTCTTAAACTCGGAGACTCTCCTCCTCTCGATCTATCTCCCCTAGATCATCTTCGTCAATTCTTAAACTCGGAGACTTTCCTCCATCTCGATCTCTCTCTCGTAGACTGACCGACTCTCACTCACCCAGACTGATCGAATTCTCGATAGCTGAGCTCCCTCCTCAGCTCTTCTCAACTCCGACCACCATGACGATCCATCTCAAAGCCAAATCTTCAAACAAAAAGTATCCAAATATGATTGTTTTCTTATTTCCATACGCACCCAATCCAACTCAAATGAGTCCAGATCTCAGAAATTAGCACTCGTCTTCTTGGAAGTTTTGGTGGTGGTGGACTTGGTAATTGTTATTCTTCTGCTGCCTTGACCGCTTAAGCTCCACGAGGAAGCAACAGTTCTTCTCATTGGAAATCGCATTGAAGTTGACCTTTCCAGTGACGAGGATTCGCTGGCGAGTCTCTGATGAGGATAGGAAAACAGTGAACTGCCCCAACAAGATTCCGATCTTATGGCTCAGAATCGACAGGAACTGCGGGAAATCAAGCTTTGGGTAAATGACAAGGTTGCCGATATTGGTATTAGTCTAACCGTAGGAGAAGACGACAGGAAACGAGACACCTCTTTCGCCCTCCATCATCTTTACTTTCTCCTGTCTCCAGCAAGATCACATCAGAAGGTGGTGGTCCGACATCTCCTGGAACAATCGAGATTCGAGAGAGCTAAAGAAGAAGAGAAACAAAAAAGAAAAAAAAAAGGACTTGTGGACCGCCCTGAATCGGCTCGTTTCAAATTGCCTGACCTGGTCCGTTTCTTTTTAACCTGGGTCTGGTCCGATCCCTTCAAAATTGGGCCTGGCTCGGTCCGTGCCTAACCCTACTTTGTGTGAGGATTAAGGAATTCAAAGCCAAGAGAAGAATCACGTAATACTACGTTCTAATAATATTTTATTATTATTATTAACTGAGAGGTATTAAGTTCAATTCTCTCCAACTGAACCATATTATTGCTAGTTTATTATGAGGTTTAGCTTAATTAATAAACAAATTTAATTTTTGACAAAAAAAAAAAAAGGATAAATGAATTTTATTTAGTTAATTAAAAAAATCAATGACTTTTTTTTTTTTGATAAACATCAATGAGCTCTTTTGAGGTCATCATTTTCACTATATAGTTTGGAAAATGGACAAGGTACACTTGGCTAGTCACCGCAGGATGTCACAAACATTGTTTGACAGAAAACAGGTGATGGTAGCAACACTGGAAAGACAAAGGAAGTTGCAGGGCGACGTGACAGAAACAGTGACGTTGAGTAATGTGCATATTTGCTCCTTGCCCTCCTCGTTACTTCGCTGGTCGAACACCAACAGTTGTTACATGGAATCTTTACCGAGGTTGAGATTGTTGATCATCATCATCATGGTATTCCTCCTCTTTCGACCCATGTCTACTACATTATTAATGATGTACAAAGTTTTAAAAGATGCTAAGTGTTGATCGAGCGTTAGGTTGGACCTAGATAGTGGACTATGCGGATTTAAGTAAATTTACTATATATCGTAAAAGTAAGTGTCTATTTATAATTGAAAAAAATACAGAATTGTATTGGGATACATAATGTAAAATAAAATGACATATATATATTATAAAGTATTAGAACATATTAAAAATATGTGGAACAAGCATATAATGAGTGTTCATCTAAATATTCAACAAATAACTTACATTTTATTGAAAAACATAAAATGCAAAATAAAAAGTTATTGATTTTTTGTTTAAGTGAAAACCGAGACATAGGTAGGATAGGCAAACTCATAAGTAGGTTTAGATGTCATTTCTTAATTCTCAAAGGCATAGAGATAAATTGAAAAGGAGTAGTCAGCCGTCTAGTGCCTAAGTGAAAATTTTTAGAATAGTAACACTATGTATGTTAAGATCGAACGACAAGCAATCAAAATTTTCTTAAAATGATTTTAAGAGAACAGACTCCTATAACAAATTAAAGAAAAGGAAAATAATTTTAGTTTATTTATTTTTTGAGTTCAGAAGGAAAATAAAATTTGAACAACTAAAAACCTCATACTTTTTTAGATATATATACTTTTGTTGGAATGAGATACTTAGAAACCAAATTAAAGAACAATAAAAATGACAAAAATAGAACACGTGTTACTTAATCCAAACAAGGAGAACCTATTCGGATGAGAGATCTCACACATCTGTGCATGCCAACGTGGCAACCATAAAACGCCAATCAGAAAAATCGCAAAAGAATTATTGAAAAAAAAAGAAGAGGAAAAGAAGTCTTAAAACACAGCGATTATTTTCTCTCGCGCTCTGTCTCTCTCTCCAAAGTCTGCACAGCATAAACCCTAAAATCCAAATTGGGAAGATTGGGTGGGATTTTGCCCTAGTGCTGCCGTCTTCGCCAAATCAAAGGTAACGTTAACTTCTCTTAACTTCGGTTTCGGGCTTTTAGCTTCTCCGTTCAAGTTTTCATTCTCGTCGAATTCTTCGAGTTTTTTTGAGATTTTTTTACGTAAATTAGCTCATTTGAGATCGTAGAAGTACAAACAAAAAATTGGGTTTTGTTTATTTGGTTTGAATAATCTGTTTCTGTAGTTATTTTTGTAATCTTGTGTAAGTTTGGGGTTTTAGGATAATCTTCTGTTTATCTTAATTGAATTTGGAAAAATAGGGTGCAGAAAAGAATCGCGGGCGGATTATGGATTAAATGGGGGAGAATATATGTGTATGTGTGTGTGTTCTGTCTAGTTTTCGTTGTCCAGTATTGTATTTATAGTTGTAAAGTTTGATAATTACAATTATGATTATATTCATAAGGTACGTTTTAATTGATTTTTTGAGTTTTTGGCTTTCACGGTAACCAAAGTAGTAACAATGAGACCATTTACTTCACTTGTTTACAAATGGAGTTTGGCATTGGTTGAGGTAGCGAGGTTGTTAAGAAATTTTCTAAATCTTTTGAATTCATGCATGCACATTTTTGCTATTCTTTTATTTCAAACTTCTGAAATTGAGGCTTGGTACTCTTTCCGAGATAGAAATGTGGTGGTGTTTATATAGTTCAATGATGAATGAAAGTAGTTCTCCTTGTCTCATGCGGTAAATTCAAGAAAATAGTGGCTTTTGATAAAGATAGTTCATGTTGTGCACAGCATTGTATTCCACTAGTGTAATAGATAGAATACTGTTGAAGGACTTGAGAAGGATTGGAAGAACCCTAGAGATTATTAGCTTCAAATTATTTGGCGATGTAGGCACTATTAAATAAGTCAATGAGGGATCAAGATTTTCTGTCCAATATGTAGATTTGGACCTTGTTTTTTTTTCATTGTGGTTTTTACGAGCTGAATCATTTACATTTGAATAAACTTAAGTGGAAAACACCAAATTGGACCAATTTGAATCATATTAGACAAATAGAAACTTCAGGCGTATGTGCAAATTCACTGAAATGGAAGAAAAACTTTAAAATGTAGGAAAAGAGTTAGAAAGCTTGATTTCGTAGAAGATGCTGTGAACAAAGTAGAATATGAGGGTGAAAAATGTGTCTGGTTTTCTTATCTATGCGTATAGCCTATTTTATTTTATCTTTTTCATTTGTAAACTTTGTGATTACTACTACTTTTTTATTTTGTTTTATCCTGTTCTATAATAGTCTTTCTGACCCATTTTGGTAATCCATGAACAGGAATCTGGTGAACTTTGGTGATATAGTCTTTACAGTTTTCAACAACAGAAGTTGTTTATATCAGTTTTATTTTAATTTGGCGATCTGAGATACGTATGGCTAGTTCTTCCCCTGCTGAATCCACTCCTCATAGCGTGAATGATGGAAGTACCCATAAAGACATTCAGGACAGGATAGAGGAAGGATCCTATTGGTACTTCTTTAGAAAGGAAATTGAAGAAAATTCTCCATCTAGACGAGATGGCATTGACTTGAAGAAAGAGACTTATTTACGCAAGTCATACTGTTCTTTTCTACAAGATTTGGGTATTAGACTTAAAGTGTGAGTTTTTTAGCCTTCTCTCTTATTTCGTTCACTTTTTCTTTGTCCCCAACCAATTAATATTTGTGGCAGATGTGATTCCATCTTTGATAGTATGTCCTTAATCTTAAGCTTGAATTAAGTCTATGTCACTCCATTGATTTTCCTTTTAGGGTAACTCTCACTTTACTACCCTCAACTATCGTGAAATTCACACTTTGCTACCCTTAGTTTTTTTTTTTTTTTTTTGTCCCAGTTTCATACCTAAACTTTGATTTTTCTGACACTTTAATACTTCTGTTAGGGTTTCCGTCAAGTTCTCCGTTAAGTAATGACATGGCATAACTTTGGCCCACCATATTGTTTAGGCTTTTAGAGTTGAGGGTTTAGTCTCAGGGATTTAGACGTCAAAATCACTTAGAACCCTTAAATCCAAATAAAATCCAACAGTCCTTAATACCTACTAAACCTTCTATTGAACAAAAATAAATGATGTGCAGTATAAAAGAGACTTTGTGACAAACTGATGGATCACGTATTTGTTAATGTTTATGTAGGTAAATGTTTTGTTCAAATGTTACTCTAGAAGTGATTGTGCATTATACATAATGCATCAACGGGTTTAATTGGTAACATTAATATAACATTAGGGAGGATGTGTCTAATAAAAATGTCAAAGCATTAATAGCTTAAGGAAAGAATGAATTAAAAGTTAAAACCAAATCATGTTTGCTCAGAACTTACTGTATGGATAGTGGGGTAGTTTCAAAATGCAAAAGCATAACGCTTTTGAAATGCAATTCAGATTGGGGATGAACTCTTGGATTATATGAGAATGTTCTTACTTTAGGAACTTGGTATGTTTGAATACTTCTTTAATCCCGATTTGTGTATGGATTGAATTATGATTATTTGAGTCTTATGAGGGTTACTGTGACAAAAAAAAGGTCTTATGAGGGTTAAAGTCTAATTGAAAACACACCCAATTGAATTAATCTGACAAAAAGAGATGTGTTATTCTTTTAAAAGTCCAAAGAGGTTATTATGATTCATGCATGTAAGTTTAGACAGACATATTCATATATGTTTTGAAAAGTCTATTCATCAGCACTGAACTTATCCAACATGCTCTGAGTCCCATGTAAATGGTACTTAATTTTTAAAAACAGAATTAACTTTGAGTTGAATCTTACTCAATATCCCTGTATGTTTGAAAACCTCATGTTAACCACTGGAACTATCCTTGTCAATATCATACTACATATCTTTTATCTTGTTTTGACTCATTAGTTCAGCATGATCAAGATCCTGAATACTTTGTTATGCAGACCCCAGTTGACGATTGCAACATCCATAATTTTCTGTCATCGATTCTTTCTTCGTCAATCACACGCAAAGAATGATAGAAGGGTGAGTATTTGAAACTTGAACGCCCCCATGCCTATGGCTTGCATTGTCTATTAATCTATGTCTGACTTAGCTTTAGACTTTCTACGTGGGGTGAATGCTCACCCATTAGTTACTATCACATACATGAAAGTTCGTCTAACTTTTATTGTACTTGTGTTGCTAATGGCATGCAAGGCAATGGGGTCACAAATATGCCATGATGTCCTTAAAATTCTCATTATTTAGCCTCAAGTGTACCGTAATCCCCAGTACCGAGGTCGGGGCAAGTGACCTTGTCCACCCTCTTTAAAGGATTTATTGTATTGTTTTACTTAGGTGGGGTTTGGGGTGGGGGATAAAGTATTTAAGTTCATAAATGTGAAATCTCGTGAGTCAATGTATTACAAGTTACAACACTCTTTCTCAAATTTTGCATTGTCTCTATATAAAGGAAATACCCAGACTTATATCATTGCAAAGTTCAATTTCGTCCTTTGTATACATGCACCTGTGGCGTACAGGTGCACACGTGTCATAGAGAGCAGGTAGATTGTAGGGTTCAATTCATCTTTGTAGAGAAAGAAGAGTCATGGACAAATGATCAAATTTTGTTCACTAAACTCAATTAAAATGTGCCGCAGACAATCGCGACAGTGTGTATGTTTCTTGCTGGGAAGGTTGAAGAAACTCCACGGCCGCTAAAAGATGTTATCCTTGTGTCTTATGAAATTATGCACAAGAAAGATCCTAAAGCAGTACAAAGGATCAAGCAAAAGGTAGTCTTTATTAGAGTGTCTTTATGCAAGACATTCATCTACCTCATCTATCAAGATATTTCTTATTGATGCTTATAATCTGATATGAATTCATTCAGATCTTTATAACTTTTAAGGTAGTCATGGTGTGCATACCATTACTTTTTTCTGGTCTACTCACAAAGCTATCAGCTGTTTATGCTTGCTTTTTGGTTATAAAATGGTATGTCAACTTACACCCTACTGGTGGAGTGGACATTTGCATCTTGTGTTGCGATTTTGCAAAACAAGATGTTGTACTGTTTTCTTATTAAAAAAAAAAAAAAAAATTGAGCGGCTAAATCTTGTAGATTGAACTTTGATTAATTGTTATTTTCTTTCGTCCATTTTATTTAGATAGTCTTTTTTTATCTGAAAATGTCCTAGAGTGTGTCTTCTCTATCTAATTCTGCTTTACTCATGGCATAATCCAAATTGAAATCCTGCAGGAGGTATATGAACAGCAGAAGGAATTAATTTTACTTGGTGAGAGGGTTGTTCTTGGGACGCTTGGCTTTGATCTTAATGTACTCCATCCATATAAACCCCTCGTTGAAGCGATAAAGAGATTCAAAGTAGCTCAAAATGCCCTTGCTCAAGTTGCATGGAATTTTGTTAATGATGGGTATGCTTGTCCTAGATCATATATGCTGTTTTTGGCCTTTCTTCATTTCATTCCTGAACTTGGAATGTGCCATGCAGACTTCGGACATCTCTATGTTTGCAATTTAAACCCCAGCACATTGCAGCTGGTGCCATTTTTCTTGCTGCCAAGTTCTTAAGAGTAAAGCTCCCGTCAGATGGCGAGACAATCTGGTGGCAAGAGTTTGACATCACCCCACGCCAATTGGAGGGTGGGTGTCCTCATTTTTAATTCAGTAGGTGATGCTACAGAGCAATCAACAGTGTCCTTACCTTCTCACTAATTCTTCACCACTCCAGATTACTCCTTTACTTGCATCCCTGTAATTATTTTTGTTACTCGATATAGATTGTATGTTTGAGGATGAGCTAAAAGTAAAAAGTTTTAAACAAATTAAGAAGATTGTTAGATAATTCTGTGATTCTATGGGTGTCAGCTCTAATGGTACACATTTATTTGTGCAGAAGTTAGCAATCAAATGTTGGAACTGTATGAACAAAATCGAGTTCCAGCTTCCAATCAAGTGGCAGGAAGTGGAGGCGCTCATCGGACTCCAGCCAAAGGTACAGCTAGCAATGAAGAACATGCTACAAGCAACAGTCATTTACTGGCTGGAGGTGCGAGGCCTGAAACCTTGAAACCTGCATCAGCTACACCAGATGTTGGAAATGATGACGGATCTCCTAGAACTAACCAATGTGAAAATAATGCTACAGAAGTACAGAAATAAAAAACGTTCTGGACCAGAATGTTGATGTAGAATTCAAAGATAATCAACACGCTGCACCTTTGCTGTCTGATCAGGAGAAGATTGGAGATGCTCAAAACGTATTAGAATTTCAGTCAGAGGGATGTGGTGAAGAAGGTCTAGAAGATAACGGGAAACTTGATACAATAGAAGCCGAGAAATTGAAGGACAAACAATTAGGTCAAAGCCTGGAAAATGGGCAAGGTTCACTTGGCCAGTCACCCCAGGATGTTATAAAGAAGATTGACAGAAACAAGGTGAAGGCAGCACTGGAAAAACGATGGAAGAGCCAAGGGGATATGAGTCTAAAAAAGGATTTGATGGATGAGGATGATCTTATTGAGAGAGAACTGGAAGATGGTATTGAACTGGCTTCTGGGAGTGAGAAAGTAAAGGGAGACAGGAGTCAAAGCATGCCGAAGCCCTCAAGTACACCAGAAAGTGAGTACCTGCATCCAGGAAAACATCATGAGGGTGTCTGTGATGATGGAACGGATCTAAATAATGCCGAAGGTGAGGGTTCTGCACTTGCTGATGGTGGCCAAGGATCACCCATTTTCAGTGACCACAAGAGAAAAGCAGTAAGCCCTCCTCCACTCAATGATGCAGAGAAGAAGCAGCGGCATGATTATGAACCTGGAACCCTGAACCATAATGAGTTTGATCATACAGAAGATCACATCATGGCAGGCCTGGTTGGACACAGTGATATGGATCACATAAGGCCAGTACAGGAAAATCCTGTCTGAGGTGGTGTGTACTGCTTGCAGTTGCTGGAGATGTCTTGATATAATCACTTGCGAATTCTCTTCTTGTCCGAGTGCTTATTGTGATTTCTTCAGTGGCCGTCCTTGGTATGCTCTAATCTTTCGTCTATTTCTTCCCCATTGTCATCATTTGCGGACATATACATTGTGATGAATGTGAGGTTTATCATCTCATCTCATTTCAACAATGTTTTGGACACTTTGTTGATGGTGATGATAAATTGATAATCAATTAGTGGAAATGGAAAGTAGGGAAGAAACTTTTGGCGTTGTTGAATCCATCAATTAGCAAATTCTGCATCATCCATCTTTGGCTCTCTCTTCCTTCTTTACTTTCCTCTAATTTCAATGCATTTCGTGTACGCAACGAAGTGTGAACCACATAGGCATCATTTACCAGTCTTGGAAGTGAGGATACTTTTATGAGTTGCAAAATTAAGGTACATTTCATGACATAACATGACAAAGCAAATATGTATCCTAAAATATAAGAACAAAAAAGTACTATTATTCGCACATTTTGTATTCATCTGCCGTCTAATATTTTAAGGATTTTTATCACAATAGTTATTGAAAAAACACAATTTTTTTGTAACGAATTAAACAAGAACACGTGTACGAAATAAATTTTTATATTGTTATATTAACGAGTGTTTAGGGTTTCAATCAATGTCATTTATCTTGTACAATAATATTCTTTTGATCTGATCTCTAAAGTAGAATTTGATTCAAAGGTGATGAACACTTGATCTTGAATCGGGCTTGTGATTTTCAACGGTTGTCGAGGCTTGATCTTGAACAAATCGGGACCACGATAAGTGTCACGTGGTTGGTGATTTTCGATTTTAGTGGTGGATGAATCAACACATGTATTTATTGTGCTTGTTGATTTTTCACGAGCCCAATGAAGAAGACAAGGGTGTTTTTAAGTGTTTGATATTTGTTTTGGGCAGAGAGTTTTTAATTTTCTCTATGGCTTGAGCTTGTTTCCTTTCATTGAAATCCGTTTCTTCAAAATGAGTTGGGTTTTTATAATACAATTATGAATTTTACCACTTGTGGTATTGATTTTCTGATGTGATTTAATATGAATTTATTATTTAATTTAGCTCATAATTAAATCAAAATATTTAATTTAAAAAATTAAATTTTAATTGATACAATTTGATCAAATTTAGGTTAATTTGTTTCAGTTTGTTGATTTGTTTGATATAGGTCTCAAATGTAACATGTGTCATTTATGATTGCTTGTCTTATCATGTGCCACCTCATGAATTGGTTTAGTCATTTTCGACTAATCAGGTGATCAAATAGAATTGACCATCGAAATTTTCATGTCTATAAATGCTCAAACTTTTAGACGCGGCGTAAACGTGTGATTGTCATGAAACGTTTTATTTTGTACACTAAAATTCTATATTAAATATACTTTGATTTGAGAATCAAGCAAAGTCTATCAAATTCCATAGACGCATAAGTATAAATAAATGGGAAAATGTTGTAGCCTATTTTATCTGACAATGGAAGGGGGCCGGCGGCAGAAAGAGAGATTGGAGAGAGAGATGTGTTTGTAGAATTGTGTAGAGAATATGTTATTTCCCTCTACGCAGTGCTTTTATTTATAGTAATAAAAGAGAGACTAAATCCTTCTCGTCCAAGGAATACAAGTTCATATAAGAAAGAATAACTAGAATCAAATATAATCTAGGATTTACACAATCACACTTAAACAAGAAGTTTATAACACTTCCCCTTTAGTGTGTAAATACTCAATTAGATTCGGCATCATGTAGAAGTTGAGGAAGGCGACTCGTCGGCACTAATTCTGGGAACACACTATTCTCAATAAGGTAGGAACTTGCTTAAGGAAGTAAGTCTCACAAAAAAACCCTATGGCTATGGTAAAAACCCAAGTAGGGATAAAACCCACAGTCTAAGGAAAAATGCGTGAGAAATGTAAAGTCAAATGAAATGTCTACGGGATGTCATCAGGGATATGATCAACTCAAAGGTGGCTGCCTCATTAAAAACTAGTTAGGTGGCAAAAACCTAGTGGGAAAAATGTTTCTAATCGTAGGGAAAAAGAGTACATTAAGATCAAGTAACAATACTTTAGGATAATCCCCTTGAGTTTGACATAATTCCTAAGAGAACTAGCAAAGTTACAACTTAGAAAGTTTACGCATACTAATTCCATGAACAAGCTTCTGAAACGTCACCTTTGGTAGTGATTTGGTGAAGAGGTAAGCCAGATTGTCTTGTGAACGGATTTACGTGACTTCAATCTTCTAATGCTCTTGTTGTTAATGTAAGAAGAACTTCGGCGCAATGTGCTTGATAATATATCCTTTGATGTAACATTTCTTGAGCTGTTCAATACATGCTGCGTTGTCTTCATAGATCGTCATCGGGACATCAACAATGGGGTAAAGATCGTAGGAGCTTCGAATATGGCCTACAATTGCTCTCAACCAAAAGCATTCCCGAGTTGCTTCATGTAAGGCGAGAATTTCAAAATGGTTAGACGAAGTGGCAACTAAGGTCTGTTTATTTAACATCTAAGAGATTGCGGTGCCTTCAATGGTAAAGACATAACCCGTTTGAGAACATGCCTTGTGCGAATCAGATAATGCGTCGACATAACCAACAAGGTGAGAATTAACTCGAGATAAAGGGGTGCGACATCACTCGAGGATCTGTAGGGATAGAACAAGCCCAAATACGCAGTGCCCTTAAGGTCGTGGAAAATTCCTTTAACACCGGTCCAGTGTTTGCGTGTTGGTGCATTACTGTATCTTGCCAAAAGATTAACAGCGAAGGAGATGTAGAGTCTAGTGCATTGAGCTAAGTACAATAAAGCGCATATCACACTTAGATAAGGAACTTTAAGCTTCAAAATCTCTTCAACATCCTCATTCGGACGTAAGGAATCTCGTTTTGCATCTAGCGATCAAACGAACATATGAGTACTTGAAGGTTTCACTTTATCCTTGTTAAAGTGGCGCAACACCTTCTGGGTGTAGTTCGTTTGATGTACTAAGATTCCATCCAAATAATGTTCTATCTTGAGACTAAGACAATATCAAGTTTCCTGACAATATCAAGTTTCCTAGATTTTTCATCTCAAATTCCGACTTTAGGTGTGTGGCAGTTCTCGCGAGCCCTTCAGGAGTTCTAATGAGGTTTATGTCATTGACATATACTGCAACAATTGCAAAACCGAAATGTGACTTCTTAATGAACACACAAGAGCATAGTTTGTTGTTCACATATCCCTAACTAGTCAAATACTTACTCAGACGATTATACCAGATTCTTCCAGATTGCTTCAAATTGTAGAGTGAACCCCTCAACCGAATTGAGAGCGTGTTCTGGGGTTTGGAAATATTTGATCTAGTCAATATAAGTCATTCAAGAACTTTTATATAAATTTTCGTATCAAGATCCCCATAGAGATGCGCAGTTACTACGTCCATCAACTGCATACTCAGTTTTTCGAAAACTACCAAATTGATAAGGTAGCGAAAAGTAATCATATCCATAATGGGTAAGTTTCGTCATAGTTAATCCTGGGGCGTTGTGAGAAGCCTTACGCAACAAGACAAGCAATTTCATTCTTCTCATTACGCTTCCGAACAAAAACCCACTTGTAGCCAACGGGCTTCACATGTGGAGGAGTATGAGCTACATGTCCAAACACCTTACGCTTCGTAAGCGAATCAAGTTCGACTTGGATTGCTTGTTTCTTGTTTGACCAATCTATTCTATGTCGACATTCATCAATGGAAGGGGTTCAATGTCATTGCTTAACATAATCTCAATAACTACTGCATATGTAATGCATCGTCGATGATCATCTTATTTCTACACCACACATCATCTAAGTTAGCATAATAGACCGAAATCTCATGATTATCAAGAGGTGGATTCGTCTTTTCTAGGACGTTTCCGTAATCTAGAATAAGTAAGTGACAGTTGGATTCACGGTAGGCTTTTCATGTGCCTGTGCCCTGGGTTTCCTCTTCCAAGGGTGTGAATCATTTGAACCAAGAGGTCTGCCACGCTTATGTGTAAGGGTAGATGATTGGCTAGCCGCTAATGTATGTGGATCACCAAAGTTGGTGTCTCGAGCCTCCAAGAGGGAAGTTTGTCGTACATTTGGTACATCCATCTTTGCAGGCACATTCGCAGCTAGAATATGTGATATTGCCACTCGCGCTAGATCGGTGAAAGCATCTGGCATGATTTGAGCTATACTCTGAAGATCTAATATGCGTTGCACTTCAGTCTCAAATTGAGCGGTACAGGGATCTAAATGAGACAAAGTGAGAGTCATCCACGATAATTTGCATCGTTCTTCAAGAACGTTAACGTTCTTATCTCCCTCTAACGATGGGAAAACAGTTTCATAGAAGTGACAATCCGCGAGACGAGCGGTAAATAGATCACCTATCAAAGGTTTTAAGTAATGAATGATTGAAGGAGAATCATATCCGACATAGATTCCTATCATTCGCTGATGCCCCATTTTTGTACGTAAGGGCGGCGAAATCAACGCATAGATCACACAACCAAAAACGCGCAGATGCAATATGTTGGGTTCGTATTTGGTAATCAACTGAAGGGCACTATATGGTTGGATCGCAACAGGCCTCAGGCGAACCAACAGGCCTGCGTGCAATATTGCATGGCCCCAAGCAATTGGGAGCTTGGTACGTATGACCAATGATCGAGCAATCATTTGTAAGCACTTATTGAATGCCTCTGCCAGGCCGTTTTGGGTGTGAACAGAGGCTACTGGATTTTCAACTTCAACTGCAATTGACATGCAATAGTCATCAAAAGTTTTAGATGTGAATTCTCCAGCATTATCCAATTGAATAGATTTAATCTGATAATTAGGGTGATGATCCTTGAGTTTGTTAACTTGAGCCAATAGTTTGGAGAATGCAGCATTCCTTGTGGACAACAAGCACATGTGTGACCACATGTGGAGGCGTCAACCAAAACCATAAAATATCTAAATGGTCCGCATGAAGGTTGAATCAGTCTACAAATGTCCTGTTGAATCCTTTGTAGAAAACTAAGAGGATTCGAATGAATCTTGTCATAAGAAAGCTTAATAATAAGCTTTTCCATAGAACAGGTTTGACATGCGATTCCTTGAATCGAACCTATACTTTAGGTTAATGGATGCTCGTGTGATGATATGAGGATACAACGCATCGCTGTTCGTCCAGGGTGTTTTAAACGATCATGCCAAAGTGTAACTTTGTG